TTTTGAGAATGATGGGGGCAATGAATGTACAAATGTGCTTTACACAATTGATGTATGTATGGATTGTGATAAGAGTTGTATGAGCCCCTAATAATGATTTTTAAAAATTCTAAGCTGCAGGTAATATTGACAGTTCTCCTCAAAGGTGTAATTTGTGCTGTTGTCTATTTTTTTCAGTTACCATTTGAAAGGTTTAAATGACGGCAGTAACTTCAGCCAAATCTCTTAAATGGTGCAACAGCAGACCACACCAAGCAACAAAAGCCCATCATCTAAGGGCTTTCCGTGGGCTTAACACATTTTGGCATTTTAGTGTCACGGCAAAATTCGACGAAGGGGGGATTAGTACCCTCAGGTTCCCAATGAGGAAATAAGTATTAGATCTTTTGAAGCCCTTTGTTCACTATTCCCAAGCTAGTAAACCTAGTTCTAATTCTGAAGCCACTGCTCTGTCTGCTCCCCTCCACTGGGCGAGTCACTATCGCTCTAGTGATGAAAATATGAAGCAAACCCATTGCACTTTGGGGATGGAAGGCTGCATATTTTACGTTCACTGACCAAGAACTCTCTGTGTAAGATACCATCATACTCTGCTACTTACTTAACCTCCCTTGTAAAGGAGGTTTATTGTCTTCAAAGACATGAATTTTAGTAGCTTTCCATCTGGGAGAAATGTCAATTTTGTTTGTAGATAATTTTAATAAAATTGTAGATGGTTTTAATAAAATTTCCATCTGAGAGAAATGTCAATTTTGTTTGTAGATAATTTTAACAAAATGGCTGATTACTTATTATTTTCCCTCAGATATTGTTTCTCTGCACTTATTCAAAATAATGAGAGGTGCTAAAATAACAGGTTATGGTCTTCCCTTGTTTCTTCACCATTGATTAAGGAAATGGAAATGTTCGGACTCTAGCTACTCTTTCTCCACATCAGGAGACCGCAAACTTTACAGTCAGAAGCACTTCAAACTAAAAGTTAACTTTTGATCCTAAACCAGGGATAAGTTAGAATTATATATGAGACTTTTTATATTACCTCATAAGTTTGTTGCCATGATAAATTAAAACACTAACTTCTTATTATGCCAGGGGTCTGCAAAATGTTTAGGGGAAATGGAAATGAAAGATAAGAGAATGCTCCCATGAATTCGTTGATGCTCTCTTGTATTGTGACTCTGCGGAGGCTACATCGTGTGCTGGAAACACCATGATGAAACGTGAGACAGAGAGCATGTCCATGTGAAGCTCACATGTGTTCTCAATCCGAAGTCTGAGAAGTGGGAACCAAGGCCACTGAAGGAGAGTCTCCTCTCCTCCCAAGCCCCGCCCCTCTCCTCCCCTTCTTTTCTCCTTTTTCCGCAAACATCATCTACTGTGTTCTAGGGGCTCCACAAATGTCATCCTCATGACAGCTCTAGGAGGGATGTACAAGGATTGTCTCACTTAATAGATACCACTCTTCTTTGTACCTCAGACTGCTGAGGAGAGAAAGGATTGGGTGCAGAGAAGGCAAAAATGGGTGCCCTAACCTGAGGAGGAGTATCCCAGTAGATTCCACAGTATTTCAGGTGGCTGGGGAGTAACTTGGGACGGAGTGAACCTGGACGTGCAGAGGAGTGGCTAGAACTAGGTGTGATGGGTTGAGAGTGGATGACAGAGGAGAGTAGAGTGTCCAGGGCTCTCCCTTCAGTCTGGTGCAGTGTCAAAGTGGAGAACACAGAGTGGGCAGAGCCGAGAGGAGGATGGGGAGACACAGGGTGAGGTGAGGACCAGAAATGCCAATACTGGGTCCTCCAGTGAGGGCTTCCTTTCTCCTCTCTGGATTTTGATAAAATAACAAGCACACAGATGGAAACTCCAGCAGTACAAGGAGGTCTGTAGTAAAATGTAAGTCTGCCCCTCGAGGGTCTCCAGACCCTCACAGTTCCCCATCTAGAAGCAACCACCAAGACCAGGGTGTAATGATGTTCTTCCAGTACAGCAGATCAAACATTAAAATAAAAAGCCAAGCCAAACTCACTGCCATCGAGTCAATGTCAACTCATAGTGACCCTCTAGGACAGGGTAGAACTGCTCCTGTGAGCTTCTGAGACTGTAACTATCAACTTGAGTAGAAAGCTTTGTCTTTCTACCTTGTAGCAGCAGGTGACTTTTGAACTGCAGACCTTGTGGAACGCAGCTTGATGCTTAATCTCTACACTACCAGGTCTACTCAGTATAGCATATAAACACATATAATTTGTGTTTGTTTTTCAAATATTTCCTTTTCTGCTGAGGACGGGTTTCAGTAATTCGCCATCTTTATTCAGCAATATACCTGAGATAGTTCCTTACTAGCAAATTCCTCCATTCTGTTTAATAACAGTACAGTGGTCCAATGCACAAGTGTATGTCATGTCTCAGATTAATCGACATTTAGGTTGTTTCCAGGTTTTCAGTGTGAAACCATTTTTTCTGAATTTTTTACATATATGGAGCACTGGTGGCATTACAAGTGGTTATGAGTTGGGCTGCCATAAGCATGGTCAGCAGTTCAAAACCACCAGCAGCTCTGCGGGAGAAAAAGGAGGCCTTCTCTAGCAAACAGTTACAGTCTCAATGCCATGAGTCAACATTGATACCATGGCAGTGAGCCATGTGTGTATGTTCTCATTTGCCTGTGTGTACATACTATTTCATGATCATTGTTTATATTGCCAATGAACATCCATTTTAATTTGTAGTAATGTTTGTCCTTCCAAAGGCTTTTGCAGTTAATATCTCTTCCAAGTGCATATTTCCCCACACTCAGACAAACACTGTACTATCATACCCAGTAGAGCTGGTGCCAAATCTGTAGTGAAAAATGGTATGTCATTTTCATTTTAAACACCATATCCCTCATTTTAAAGAAGTGTTTAATATATATATATATACATATATGTGTAGAGGATCATTTGCCTTCCCACTGCAGCTTTAGAAGTCTTCCTTCCAGTTAGTGACTTACAGTCCCCCCTTCCATTTCTGATCATCTTTTTGGATAAAAACCTTATGGTTTTCCCATTTTTACTTTGATTATACAGTCTAGTCATTTTCTTTAAGGTTACCCTGTAATTATTTTTTTCCAAGTTTAAAAGTTATTTTATCTTTGTATTATCTTGATTTCCTCTGAATTTGGAGGCTCTTTGACTATACATTCCCTATTTTGCTTTGCAACAGCCATCATTTTCAAATTTATACTTCTGTTCCCCTACTTTAGTCTTACAGGTTTGTTTTACTTGTCATACATCTCTATCGTGGATAAGGAGCCATTGTGGTGTAGTGGTTTGGGGCTATGGTCTCCAAGGTCCACAATTTTAAACTACCAGCCACTCCACAGGAGAAAAACAGGGCTTTAAATCCCCATTAACAGTTACAGACTAAGAAACTCACAGAGAAATTCTGCCCTGTCCTTTAGGGTTGATGATGAGTTCAGTATTGACTCGGTGGCAGTGGGTATGTTATATCTGAGTTGTGATAAAAGCGTTTTAAACTCACATTGCTATCTGCCATTGCTGCTTCTCTGTCCACAGGATTCCTTTTACAATCATTTGTTAGGTCAATCTATTTTTACAAATTTCTTTACTATTGGTTTATCTACAAAGAGACTAATTTTGTTATATTTGAGGGATCGTTTTGCTGGATGTAAAATTCTTCCTTGGTTTTTTTTCTTCTTTCAGGGTTTTGCAAATGTCATCTCATTGTTTTCTTACCTGCATGGTTTCTGCAGAAAAAATAAGAACTTACTCCTATTGGATTTCTTTTTCAGGTAACTTTTCATTTTACCCAAACTGTTCTTACAATTCATCCCTTGTCTTCAGTTTTTCCCATGTCCTCAGACTGATTATGGCTTGTCTTGGTGATTTTCTTTTGAAATCTGTCCTGTTTGGAGTTTATCCAGCATTTTGAATGAGTATCTTCTAGTTTTTCACAATATTAAGGAGGTTTTTCAACAAATCTTGATTTTCTGAGGTTGTTTTTTGTATTTTCCTATTCTGTAATTCCAATGTTCTTCTGCTTGATGGTGTCCTATATAATTCTTAGGCTTCCTTTGTGGGTTATTTTTCCTCTCCATTTTTTCTCCTTGGGTTTTCCCTAACAGATTAGTTTTAGGAGATTTTTCTTTAATCCTGCTGATTCTGTCTTCTTTTGATTAAATTCTATTCTTTTATTTTCACAATGCATTATCTACTTCTGAAATTTTAAGTTTAATCATATAGATTTATTTTGCTATAGATTTATGGGTCTTTATTTTCTATTTGTTTTGTCAGTTTGTTCTTGTCTTATTTTCCTGGATTCCTCTAGAGTGTTTTATCATGTTTTCCTTGAGTTTTGTCTATAATTGTCTTGACATTGTGTTTCTTTTCTTTGATCTCTTTCTTAAACAATTGCCGGCCTAAACTCTCTATGTGTGTATGTAAGTATGTATACACACACACACACACACACACACACATATATTTCACTTTTATTGGCACGTACTATACTTATCCTACAATCCAATATTTTAATTCTTCAGTCATATCTATAAGAATTGTACAATCACTACTACAATCAATTTCAGAACAGCACCACTGCCCATGGTTAAGTTGCCTGTAAAATAAATTGTGTAGTCATTTCTAGTGCTCCCTCCAACCTCCTGCCATAATTGTTTACTACAAAAATCCATTCACTCTCCCTATTTCCCACCACCCAGTGGTAAATGCCCTGTAAACCCTTGCATCAGTTATTATTTCTATGCATCCACCCCTTGTGTGAAATATAATTCTCTTTCTAGCCCCCAAACCAATTATATCTCATTTTGTGACTGGCTTAATTATTAAACAAAAGCTATCCCAGATACTCGTGTGGAAGCCCATTCTTGCTGCATACAATTAGAGACTTTCAGAGTTCACTGAAGTGGGGAAAGCTCCGTCTTACAAAAATTAAATCCTGATACAGATAATGGAGAAAAGTTGAAAGCATTAAACAAAGTTCCTGCCCTGGAGCACAGAAAAGGAAAACAAACGAAAAAACCTACTCGCTTCACTGTTTAATTCAAAGAAGCCACCTTCAAAGAGGGCAGATAACATTTTAATGAAAAAGAAGTTAATGACGAGAAAATACATTATCTTAGTGTATTAAAATAAGCACTATGGGGTCGAGGACAGCTAAGCAGTGAAATTGTATCTACAAAATAATGAAATACACACACATACACACACACTCCTAAATTCACTGCCGTGGAGTCATTTCTGGATCACAGCAGCCTTGTAGGACAGGGCAGCACTGCCTCGATAGCTTCCAGACTTTAACTCTTTACACAAGTAGAAAACTTAGTCTTTTCCCTCACAGTGGCCGGAGGTTCTGAATTACTAACAAGAATGGACTGAGTCCCTAGGCTCCTCAAACCATGACAGCTTCAGTTAATGATGACTTTAAGAAGATATAAAATTCTAGGAAGATTTTTCTGTACCAATAAACATTTAGATTGCTTTTTATAGTACATTCTTTGCAATGTTGTTATCCATGGTTTATACTATGCAAAGCTATAAACAATCCATGAGTGAATTAGCCCACTGAAAGCCTCCCTTCAAATTGGTGCTTATGGACTTCAGAGCTGAATCAGTGAAGCTGGCATGCATACATTGGACTCTCTTTATCTAGTCTCCCCTGCATCTCACCCTCTCTCCCCTGCCCTCCTCACAACAACAACAAGAGACTTGTTCAGTTGGGTAAATAAATAGACTGCTGCACTTAAATGGACTGCAGGGGATACATACATACTGATATTTTAAAAAGGTTTCCACCAGGTATATGGCAATACAATGTGGGAAGGGAAATTGAGCGACTATAACCAGGTTATTAGGTTATTGAGCGACTATAACCAGATTACCTGATGGATGGGGTGGGTTCTCAAATGACTTAGTGTCCATGTCCTGAGCAGCAGTGACAGGAGGCAACATGAGCAATTATTGAATTTGCCACCAATCACCCCAATATTAAGGGGAAATATTAAACCTTAAAATCTTTCACTACCTCCTTGCAATCCACAATTGTGAGGCTGGCTCAGGACCAGGCAGTATTCCCTTCTGTTGCCCCTAATGTTTCTCTGAGTGAGAACTGACTAGGCAGCACCTAACAACAAAAAACACACTTCAGATAGAGTAAGGCACGTCAGGATTTTAATGTTTAAACAGGATTTTCCACTTTAATACACTCTTGACATTTTTATTATGAATTCCTTGTAAACATTCATTTACTGTAAATTGATTTACTCAAATTATTTTCTCCAAAGAAAATAATATCCCCAAGTGCTGTAAGTCTTGTTATCACTGTTTATGAATCCAAAAATATAGTCGAGGGCTCTCAGTTCAATGTATACATTCACAGCTTCTGAAATATTTGCTATAAATTCACAACTGATAGAATATACAAAACAGACGATCATCTTACAAAATAAATTCTATGCTACATTAATAATCAAGAATTTACAAGACTTCTCAAGGAATTTAATTCTGTACTAAGATTTTGAAAATTATAAATTCTAGTCAAGGTTATTTATCTGTCAATAATTCCAAGTTTAAATGGATCATTGGAAAATAATATTTTCTCAAAGCCAAAATGCTTTTCTGACTCTGAGCTGTGAGTCAAAATCCTATGACAACTTCACTTACGTATATCTCAAATACAAATTTCAAGTATATAAGCACAAATCACTTCCCCAAAATAAACTGAGTTACCTAAATGCTTGAATACAAAAAATATAAGGACATCAGTACAAAAAATATATGGATAGGAAAAGGAACAAGCACCAAACTTGAACTTGAATTGGTTGTTTCAATTTTCTTATTTTGAAGGCGGGACATGTTTTTCCTATCAGGACCCTGACAGTCTTCTTGAGCATTGGTCAAGACAGCTCTCTCAGAACAATTGGCCTTGAGACATCCACTGCGATTTGCCCCAGGAACACATGGCAACCGTGCAGCCAATGGTTTCTCTTCCTTTCTAAAGGAGTAATAGTTAGATTTTTTAGTGACCGTGTTGCCTATACAAATATTGTTAGACATGCACACTTTAAGACTGTCTACATTAGTGTTTCCTATATTACCCGTCAGTATACAATCAGAATAGGTATAGCAACTACAATTAAATTTTTCAGAAAAATACTTCAGGTCTTTGATGGTGGGTTTCCCATCTACTGTGAACTGTCCATCGTTCCCAGCTTGAATAACAAAGTTATCTGGGTTCAGGTGAAGATAGTCACTTGAATTCCAGTCTTTCCTTTTACATATTCCTAATCCTTGGCAAAGCACTTGGCTGCACATTTTGGCTGCTAAAGTGAGGTTGATGACGTAAGGATTCAATGTAGTCGTCAGGTAATTGGCTAGGGTGGTACAGGCTTGCTGTGAAACGACAAGGTCAGGAAATTAAGGGACACATTAGTTCATACATGAATTCATTCAGGGCAATACGCAACTTTTAAGAAATCAAGACTAAAACAGATGGAGTAAGAGGTTGAAGATATTTTAATCTTTTCACCCTTGTCAAGTAAAATTAATCCAACTGGTTTGTTTGTAACATTTGTAAGAAAGGGTCATCTGCCATTCCATGACTTTGAATGAGCAGCCCACAAATGGAGGCTTCTGATACTGGGAGCTAGGCCTTCCTCAATCAATCATCATCAGGAGGCGCTGAATGAGGGGTACAATGACTAGAGCACGAGCTCTGAGGCCCATTGTCCTGAGTGGAGTTTCAGCGCTGGGGATTGGAAGCTGTGCGAGTGCGAGGATCTCTGAGTATGTCTAATTCTTAGTTTCCTCTTAGGTGACCTTGGGGAAATTAACCTTGCTAGGATTCAGCTTCATCTGTGACACAAGGTTCACTATAGCACCTGCCTCATTTTGGTTGTTATAAAGATGGGACAGGGAGGAATCTTATTTATAAAAAAAATGCTTAGCAGAGAACTAATAATATCATCAGTTAGCCATCAATAAAGAATAAATAAATATAATAAGCATCATTTTTGTTAGATAAGTTTACACAGCATCAGAATCAATGGTTTCTAAACTACTAGCTCCATATAATGAAACAGTTCAACTGGGCATACGTTATATTAAGTATTATTTATATGTAAAATTATGGAAGAATGTTGACAGCCTGCTCAGAGGCACACTTATTTATGAGTACACTCAGACTCTGCTTTAGGTGGTGACTGGCTGAAATGGCTCAACTTGAAGCTGCAGCATCCTAAAACCTAGATGCACCAGCCTCTAAAATCATCAATGGTATTCACTTTCTCTGATGATCAACAATCCTTTGACTGAGATGATGGTGCACATCCTTCAGCGCCTAGAGAAAATGGCAGTGATAAGCTGGCTGAAAAAGTCAAGGAATCTTGGCATCTTGGTCTTCAACTTGTTTCTCATTACCTTCCTTGAGATAAGGCCTTTGGTGCTAAGCAAAATGTTACCCAAAGATACCTATGCCCTAATCCTCATGAAACAATGAGCATGTTTACCTTACTCAGCAAGAGAGACTTTAAAGACTTGAGAGATTAACAAAATGACCCTGAAGTATCTAGGTGGGTTGATCTAATCATTGGAGTCCTTACAGGACTATGTTGCTTCCCAGCTGGGTTAGAAGAGGCAATGGAAGAAGAAGGGAGTGAGATTCAAATCCTAGAGGGCCTCAACCTGCCACGGCCAGCTTTGAAGATAGAAGAAGGAAACTAGTGGCCTCTAAAAGCTGGAAAGATTACACTGGAATGGAAAAGAAAAGCTTGTTGCCACTCAGCTGAAAACCCATCAGGAAATGAAGAATGAGTTGCCACAGCCACGGGAAATCAGTTCTGTCAACCATATAAACAAGGAATGAAGCTTTGCCAACATCTTGATAAGAATCTGAAAAGACTTGTGTTGGCCTTCTGACCTGCAGAGTTGTGAGACAACAAATTTGTGTTATTTAATTTGCTAAATTTGTTTGGCTGGAATAGAAAATGAATATACTACCCCTCTTCATAACTCTGCAATGGCTTTGAATGGTGTCCAGAATCAAAATGTCCTGCCTTGACTGATATACAGCCAAACAAGGTGTAAAGATTCCTGTCATTGGTACAACCCTCGTTGTCTCCTCTACCTCAGACACAATGATTGTTTCAAGATTTTGGCAAGGTCAATTTCAAACCTAAGCCCCTTACTGTTCCCTCTAGTTGGAATGTTCTCTCTTCTGATTTTTAGTATCACTCTTTTCCAACTTATCATTCAGATCTCATATTTAATTAGACAGTGACCCCCTCAGATACCTTTCCTATTCACTCTCATGTGTCTCTATTTTGTTTTATTTTCTTAATTTTTATTTTCTTTTTTCTCTCTCATGTCTCCCTATTTTAATTATCTGCAATAGCAATTATGTCAGAAATATTTCCTTGTGAGTGTCTTATTTTTATGCCTGTATAAAAACACAAATTTCATCAATATTCTTCTATATTAGCAAGAACATATGAGGACTGCATCAGATCGCAGCTGCCTCCCCAGCTCCCTGGCAGTAAGTGTTAGGCAAAAAGAGGAATAAATAGATGAGAGTGGTTTGAGACTCATTAGCTTATCCAAGATGTGGTCTATGGAAAGAACTAACAACTTCCTCTACAAACGACAAGGCCTTATTTACAATATACCTCAATTTCCATGGTACAAGTATTCCTACTATGGTCAGTACCTATACTCAGATTAGTGAATGAATAATTGGAAAATGAGTGTTACACAATTACATGATATGACTCTATGGTGTGCAGTAACACACACCATGACACAGTATTTTCACTCTGAAAATTCTTTAGATATAAATAAACATAGAAAATAAGAGTTAAACTGAACTAGATAATTAAGTGATATCTGAGTATGTATTACCTTTGTTTTGAATATAAATTATTTACAAAGGTTTTATAATTTAATGTCTTGTAGTGGCTATTTTCAACAATTAGCTCAAAAAGTCATGATATTTTAACAACTAACTCTCTTGATCTGGGACCAGTAGTAGCTGACCCCAGCACACTTCTGGATAGAGTGGGATGGAAGGGAACAGTTGGCTTACTTTTGTAAACAATTGTTTTATTTCAATTGCAGTCCTTGCCAGTAACTCTGCAATAACTAGCTTTTCAAGTTGTCAGCAAAATACAGAAACATGACAAGTGATTCATGACTCTATTGATCACAAATGACATAGAAAAAAGGGGTAGATAATGACTAGCCTTTAGAATGACCATAAGTTGGGAGAGATAGAAGAAGTTTATTGAATAGAGTCCCTGAAAAACACAATTCCAAGCAGAAAATATTCAAAATAAAAATTGGAAGACTGCCTCTGAATAAATGCTGAAGATGACCTGCAAGTGTCTGTGATGAGTCTAACATTAAAGTGCCTTTCAAAAAGAAATTTGATACATATATGTTACATCATCCCAGCCATTGAAAATTCCTGACTCATTCCCTACAAGAGTTCTCACCTCAAAAAAAAGTGATTTATAAAATATATAAATGGTTCCATCATAGAGTTAATAGGACCCTTGAGAAAGAAGTTGATGGATTTGAGAAAACAAATTTTTTTTGTTAGTTGAGAGGTTATTGTTGATGTTAAATAGTTTCCTGATAGAAAACATTTTACTAAACACTACACACCTTACTCTGTAGTTCTATTTCCTGTCATTTCTTTTCATTGGTGATCAAACCAAACAATAGTATAATACCGGATAGGTAGGGAGGGCTCAGATTACCTTGAATGAGTTCACAAGAGTGTTGTTGTCTGTGAAGGTCTTTAAGTGAAGGAGCACTGGGTTTGCAGTGGTTAAGCAGAGGGATGTTAACCAAAGGTGAGTGCTGATATTCTGTTTCCCTAAAGCTGGACACCGTTGGGATCCTTGGAAGTTCCACTCTGGCCCATACACTGAAGAACTCACTGCCATACAGTCCAGGTCGACTCCTAACAACCCTGGTTGACAGGGTGGAACTGCCCCTGTGGGTTTCCAAGACTAGATCTCCACCCACAACCCCCATTGTATTAGTGCATAATAATCCATGTATGATACAATACAATCATTGAAGACAATCATTGCAATACATGAAGTAGAGCTATACAATCATTGTATGATAAAATACAATCATTGAATACAATCATTGCAATACATCAAGTAGTTATACAATCATTAGCATAATCAATTTGAGAACATTTTCTTCTTTCTTGGACTCATTGCTATCAGCTCCCCAATTCCCTGCAACCTTCCTTCCCTGCCGCCTTCCCTTCAAGAAGCCATTAGTCCATTGCTGTCTCATTACATTTACTATTTCATGCACAGAAATAAGAAAAGACTGTACTGCTTTTTAAAGCAAAATAAAAATTAATTTAATTTTAAGAGCACATATATATCATCAAATCTCTATACTTCAATCATATGGGAATTTTAAAAATGATATTCAGTGAAAATGCTCCTGGTGGCCCAAGGTCATTATAGAGTGCACTTGCAAAATACTTTGCCTAATAAGTAACTTTCCAGTTGTGGGAGTTTTTTGTTTTGTTTTGTTTTTTTATCCGACTGAAACACTTTACAGAAGAAGAAAGGCCCATCTTTCTCTCTTAGTGTGCCTGGTGGTTTTAACTGCTGACCTTGAGGACAGCAGTCCAAGGTGGACACACTGCACCAACAGGGCTCCTCACTCTGTTCTGTCAATCACTCTAGATTGGGATTGTTTTTCATTTTAATGAAGAATATGGGCTATTCGATCTGAAGGAATAACAGATCTTTCCAAGGTCCCTTTTGCTCTTTGAGTAGAAATTCTACTCTGTATAGATCCCAACTCTGGAAAAGGAGCTTCATTAGACATCTCCAATATCTCAGGAGTCACTACTGTTCCCATGCCCCTTGGAGAAGGAAAAGTTCAACTCCAATTCAGTACTATCCATGTACTGATAGTACTGAATTACTCTTGCATTGTCTAGAAGGTCTGAAGCCCTTGGGTGAAGATCTGATAAGGAGAATTGATATAAGGGTGAAAATAAAAGAGGGAGAAAAAGCATTAGGTTATAATAGTGAAAGGTCTTTTATGCTAATAACATGTAACAGGAGAGAATGAATACCAAATAAAATGGACATTTTTTTCCTAATGGAGTTTATTTATAGTTTTATTTAGAATGGATACTACAAAATATAAGACAATGGGAAGGAAAAGTAGGTGGTTCCATTCCTTTCCCTTAGGAAATAAACAGCGTAGTTTCAATATCTAAATCCTGATAATCCCCATTCCCCACAATGCCCGTATAAAAACCAGTTTCCTAGTCTCTTTTTTCCTAATGAGAGTATCTTTAAACTAAAAGGTTATGAGTCATCTTAAGCACTCCTCCAAACCTTCCCTAAAATAAATTCCCCAGCTTTACTATCAGATTATATTCAAAATCCAAACACACATCTGCACAACCACCAATAACCCTGTGCTTCCAGACATCACCAGTAGTCACTTCTTCCTGATCCTATCCTTGCCTTTTCCAATCTATTCTCAACTCACCTAAGTGATTCTAAAATCATGGTCGGGTACACCCACTCATCTGCCCCAAAGCCCCAGTTAGTAGCTTCTCACATGAGAAAATGCCACATTTTCAGATGCAGAAGCTCTGCAGATCAAATGCAGAAGCTCTGCAGCTGATCCTCTGCCCTCACTGCCCACACTCCTTATCACCCTCCCCCTGGTGGCATCCCAGTCACAATGACCTTCCCATTTTTTCTTGAAAATCCCTCAAGTCTCACTCCCTTACTTCCTTTAAGTACTTGCAAACAGAGATTGTCTATGACTATCTCATCCAAACAGCCCCATCCCGCCACTCTCCATCCTGCCTACATGGCTTCATTGATCCTCACAGTACTCATTACTCCTGGCATATTATATCCACATATGTTGCAATTATGAGATTATCCTTCTACAGCAAAAGGACTTGTTTTGCTCATTAATACATGAGGGCTTACAAGATATGAAATCCAGGATAGGTACATCTATAGAAACAATAACTGGATTAAAGGTTTACTTGGGCAGGGAGTAGGGGTTGCCAGAGCTCTGGTGGTGCAGTGGTTATGCGGTGGGCTTCCATCCCAATGGTTGGCAGTTCAAAGCCACCAGCACCTCTGTGGGAGGAAGACTGGAGTTTCTGCTCCCATGAACTCTTACAGTGTCAGAAAACCAACCTGGGGTCACTATGGGTCAGCATTGAGTTGATTCCAGTGAAGAGGGGAGCTGGAGGGAAGGTGTGAGGGAAATAGAGAGCTAATATCAATCAGGTACGAGAAGGAAGTCAATGTCCTAGAACTGATTGTAGTGATGTTCATACAACTCTTTTAATATGACTGAATCATTGAAGTGTAGATATGCGAATTACATGCCAATGCAACCCTCTAAAAAACACATCAAGGAAAGTAAAAAAAAAATAATTGCGACAAAATCATGGAAACCTTTATTAAAAAAACAAAATCAAAATGGAAATCTTTTGTTTCTAGACATATCCTTCACCTAGGTCTATATACTTCTGAAGGCACTGTTTGCATCTATCTAACCAACCCCCCCATGCCCCCTGCCAATGAATTGTGCACTGTCTGAATTGTGTACTACATCAAACTGACAGTTTTTGCAGGAATTAAATTGTCACGTTCCTGTGGAATATTCTTTCAGTTTGGGGCACAAAAGAAGACTTTAGGGGCCATATAAGGGCTGTGAGGTAGAGGGGAAAGGTTTCTCAACAAATATTAATAGAACAGCCCCTCCTAGACCTTGCAGGTGCATTGTCATGATGAGGAAATAAAAATTCCTCAGTACAAATTCCCTTTCTTTTTTCTCACCCATGCAACTTTCCATTTTCTTTAAACTTATTCAAAATATGCCCTCATTATCACCCTCTTTCCTTTGACAAATCCTACCAAGATTATGCCCTTTGGCATCCTGGAAAACAGTCAGCATACTCTTCTGAACTTAAATTCTTCACCTTGAACTTAACTAGCCTAGCAGCATATGGCCTTTGAAACCAGTTTTGAATGGGCCTTTTTTAAAAGCCATGCCAATGAGATGAACACCAGTGTATTATTCAGAGACCTTCTACACTGTCATCTGCTGATTGCAGAAATATGCTGAAGTTGTATTTTATTTTATTTTGACTAAATCTATGTATTTATCAACTGGAACCCAACACTTTTTTTACTAACCCTGTTTTTTTCTGACAATCCATCAATTAGCTGACAAGTAATCAAAATAGGAAATTAATAGGCCAGAAGGGAGCACACATTTCATGAAAGGGTCTGATAGTCAACAGTTTAGACCTTGGCCCCCATTTAGTCTTTGCTGTAACTACTCAACTTTGTCTTTTAGTGAAAAAGTAGCCACCCCTTTTTTTTTTCTTCACTTTTCCTCATATTCCCTAAATAAATGAGCATGGTTATGTTCCAAGGAAATTTGTTGATAGAAAATGAAATGTAACTTTGGCAAGATTTTCAATTCTGAAATACTAATCCTTTTGTTTTAAACCACTTAAAAAAAAAAGTCCTTGTTAGCACACAGCTATACAAATCAGGTGGAAGGCTGATTAGGTCTATGCTTAATTAGTCCTGCAGTGAGCAGTCAGTGAATGACCAAAATAATGCTTATCTTAGAAAGATATTCAATACTGTCACTCAGTGTGTGAGAGATTGAGTGAATACCCACTGACTAGTAGAGCTATTTTGAGCAGAAAAAACAATCAATTTTATGCCAGAAGGAAAAGATTGTAGCCTTGTGTTTTTCTTGTTCCAAGACAGAGGATTTCAATTAATCTTACATTTTTGCTCCATCTAGGGAAGGCAAAGACAGTATTCTCTGCTTTAAAACATTACCCAGCTATTATCTGTACCTGTTTACATGCTCTGGTTTAGCCGGATATGTTAGTTAGAATTGGGCTAAGAGCTGGAAACACAGGGAATCCAGGGCAGATAAACCCCTCAGGACCAATAATGAGAGTAGCAATACCCAGGAGGGGAAGGGGAAGGTGGGGGAGAAAAGGGGAACTGATCACAATGATCTACATATAACCAGCTCTCATGGGGATGAACAACACAAAAGTGGGTAAAGGGAGACATTGGTCACTATAAGACATGGAAAAATAATAATTTATAAATTATCAAGGGTTCATGAGGGAGGGTGAGTGGGAGACAGCAGTGGGAAAAAATGAGGAGCTGATACCAAGGGCTCAAGTAGAAAGAAAATGTTTTGAAAATGATGGCAACAAATGTATGAATGAGCTCAACACAATGGATGTTTGCATGGATTGTGATAAAATCTGTACGAGCGCCCAATAAAATGATTTTTAAAAAATAAATAAATAAAAGCAATTAAAAATAAAAGCATTACCACACAAATGAAAATTGATTTTACTCTAAATTGAGCATCTACTACTATATGCCAAGCATTTTAATACCATTAAAAATTGAGAATTTAGGAGAAAAACAAAAACCTGCTATCGATCCTATTATAATTTATGGCGATCCCCTGTGTGTCAGAATTGAGCTATGCTCCCTAAAGTTTCTAATGGCCACTTTTGTTAGAAGTAGCTTGCTGTTTTTCTTCCAAGGCACCTGGAAGTGCCCTTAAACCTCGCCGTTGACACATTGAGCACTGGACCACCGATGGCACTCCTCAAGGACCATGAAGACCGAAGTGGGCTTTCTCTATTTTCCATGAATTCAACTCACCTGACTTCCGGTCAAATTGACATTTCCCCAGAACACAATCCCAGAGACACCCAAAGCAACACATTCACCAAGTGTGTTCAGAAGATCATACTGGCAAAAGAAATACAAAGAGTTAGCAGATAACAATAAAATGATATCCAGTGCAGCAACACCAAAGCAAGCATTTTTATCCCAAATGGAAGTGCAGTAACATGAAGCAAGTGTGTTGATCCGAGACTCCTAATTCCATGATTCCCCCAGTTTGCTCCTGCTCCTAACACAACCATTGCTCCATGATTAACAAAAACACACTCTATATTGCTGTCTTAAGGATGGATGAAAGCCGGGGGTGGGGGGGTGGGGGGGTGGGGGGCACAGGGACAGGGTGGTGGTGAGAAGGGTTAAGTTAACATATTACCTCTGCTCCCTAATTTTTCACAGATGCTAAGATTTTGTGATAACATAAAAAATGCACAATCTTTCTTTCAAAATCTTTCTTTCATGCTACATTTCATTCATGTTACTTGTGGACACTATTGTATAAACTCCCCCCACCCATCCACCCTTGATTGACTTACTTGAGAAAGGTATTTGGTAGGCTCATCAGCAAAAACTGGACGGGCATAAAAATAAATCGGAACTGGGAAATTTATGCTATGTAAACGAGAAAGCCTATGGGCTTCCTGAACACGGTTCCGGACAAAGAGCGCAGCGAGGGGAGTAGAATTGAGGCGAGAGTGCAAATACATGTTTGGAAAAAAGGCGGTGCTTTCCTTCCACAACCAGAAGAGCTGGTCGTTTCTCTTCTTATCGCTTTCCTTGCAACTTACATCGAAATTGGATTTCGTAGAACCATGGTTGTAACACTCAGGGTAAAGATAAAACCCCCATAGAAAATGTGGACGAAGTCGTCGTGCCAATAGTATAGTCATAAGAAAAAACGCCTTCCCTGACCTTTCAAAATCCTCTTTGGCCAGGTTGGTGGCCCTAGAGGTACTAAGAAGTGGACTGCTTTGTTTAACCAAGTCAATAGATAGATCCCAGTAGATGTTTTTTGGCTTCCAGTTCCTATCCCATAGGAGCCGCCATTCCTCCCAGTCAATGACAGCCAAGCCTGTCTGGTTTGCACTTACAGTAGAGAGAATGTCTCTCTCTGCTTTGGTCAAATGATCTTTTAAATTTCCCAACTGGGGGAGGCCGCCATTCACACACACGCCTGTTTGTTCGTTTATAAAAGGGTAGAGGCCAAGCTGAGTAGGATAAAATATTACAAGCCTTTGCCCGGTTGCCTGTTTTCTGGGACTTCCTATCATGGGAAAGAATTTCAAATCTAGGGATATATTATATCTATCAGTACAAAATTCCACAGGGGAATTCCAGGCCCAGAGAATAGAATCATTGGAGAATTCATTTGGTTCTGTGTATTGGAGAATTGGGCATGGGAGCAGAAGGAAGACAAGCAGCACTGCCTGGTATGCTCCCCCGCACCCCATGTGACCAGAGGAGATGTGTGCGATCCCTAACACTCCCATTTTAATAAGTGATTATGGGAAGCACTTGTTTGTTCCTGCAGCCTTGGTTTGCCAATATTCAGTGCAGGATAGAAATGTGGAACAGGAAGAAGTCACGTTGATGGATACGGAGGCAAAAATACTATGTCTAAATATTAGTCTTCTTGCTTCATATCTTGGGATTATTTTGCAAGTTGCTTCATCTATAACTGAAAGAATAAATATAGAAGTTATTCTTACACTGCATTTCAGTAGCAAAGATATACTGCTTTATCTAGTTTTCCATTTAAGCCCAAGGATTTGGAGTTTTGAAAAGATTTGAATATAATTTCTCCATACAAATTCCATAAGAACTAACATCTTTTTTCATCTCAAATTGCCATTTGCAAAAAGGCAAATGCAGCTATTTTTTACTTTTGCTTCCTGGGCGAACAAACTCTACACCGATCTCTTAGTCAACACTGTGAAATGTTTTTTGTTGCTTCTTGAATTCTCCGTTCTAGTATTCTGCTAAATACTAACCACCACTGTCTGTTAGTTTGTTGTACTGTGGTGGCTTGTAAGTTGCTGTAATGCTGGAAGTTATGTCACCATACTCCAAATACCAGCACAGTCACCCAAAGTAAATGGGTTTCAGCAGCCCTTCCAGACAAAGAATAAGATACAGGCTGTCCACCCATGAGGGATGAGCCACCGAAACCTTATGAACAGCAGGAAAGCATTGACAGATACAGTGCCAGAAGATGGAACCCTCCATTTGGAAGGCACTGAAAATACAACTGAGGAAGGGCTGCCTCCTCAAAACAGAGGTTACCATCATTGCATGCGTGGACGAAGCTTTGAGACCTTCATTCGCTAATAGAACAGGACTCAAAATGAAAGAATTCTTTGCAAATACTCATTTACAATCAGAAAATATTGGAATCGTCACCCAGAAAACCTTTTTCTTTTATTTTTGTGTTTGTTGTTGTTTGGTTTTCCTTTTAATTGGGACTGGCTTGAGAAAAACCATCATTGCTTCTTCTCCTTTTCCTTTTTTGCCACTGTAAATTTGTGTATAATTCTTTATACTTCTTGCATGAACTGCAAGTTACATACCACACTGTTAGTTTCCCCTTCATCAATTCTGACAGCAAGGTTAGATTCAGTAGCTGAAGAAGCTCTGTCGAAATGCTTTCTTAAAAATAGCCCAGGGTTGTGTTCTAGAGTGCCGACCATCAGGGCACTGATGCCTTTTTCTCAGGCCTCAGGTCCTCACTGTTTAATCTGTGACCTGAGAATATTGACCTATGCAAATGTCTACCTCAGCTCTGAGGATGGGTGTGCACTGGGGATGTAACTGTTTCTTTACCTAGGAACAAATTTCATGGTAGAATTCTGCCAATAATAAGCCATGCATTGCTTACATATTGCTTACAAATGCTCCTACCAATGAACTAGGATAAATGCCCCTTGAAACAGTGCTCCATTAGATTGTACATGAACAGAATTTGATGTGTGGACTTAATATGAAATTTTTACTACTTCGTAGCTTCCACTGAAAAACATTGGTTCTAGCTTAACTTAATAAAACCAAATTATGAAGTTTGACCTTTTGATAGCCTTTTCTAAGAAAGATTATGTTGTCATTTTGTTGTTATGAAATGGAAAGTTATAGCCTATTTTGTGGGGCTGTTAAAATGTTCTTGAGTCTAGGATAAAGTATTAAACCATGTATCATTCAGCATTTAGTAACTGTAAAATTTATTTATAAACAGTCAACATATTTGCATGCTGTCACTCAAGGAGAAAACTAGAACCTTTCTTCTTAATTAGATTAGTAGTAGATGACTGTGTAAAGGTACAATGAGAAGTTTACCATTCTACCTAGCAATAGACCCCCATTAATGTAACGATTGTGCTGGACTGCCAACCACAAGGGACATATCTACTTTGTCCTATAGGACCAATACGAGTCAGAATCAACTACATGACAGTGGGATTTTAGCCAGGAATATGTTTCTTTACCTTAGCAAGCTTTCCATTCATCTTTGTCCCTTTATAAAAGTGGCCCTAAAGATAAGGCTATAGTGTTGTTAGGTGCCATCAAGCCCATTTCAACCTATAGCAAATCCACGTGGCAGAGTGCAACTGCCCCCTAGGGTTTTCTTGGATACAATCTTCATGGAAGCAGATGACCAGTTCTTGGGTTTGAACTGCCAATCTTTTGGTTAGTATCCAAGTGCTCAACCATTTGCACCACCAAACTTCTTAAACACGTTAGTTGGGATAAAATGAAATCAGAAAAACAACTAGTCTCATATCTGTTTACGATCATGATTTCCCTCTGATGTTTATAATATTCTTTTCGTAATTTAAATTCTCATGAACTTTCTTACTCTGAACACAGAAAATATTGGCCTAAAATCATATTGGGAAGGTAACTCAAAAACGAAAGCTCTACCATTCAGTCGAAGCCAACATTTCAAGGGAGCAAGCTTATAAGATTTCTACTCTGCATTTTTAATCACTTTATTATTTCTGAACCAGTTAGTCTATAATTTTGACCTAAAGACTGACTTCTACCTCCAATTAACAGTTAGAATTGATTCAAGTTCAAAGTTTTTGTAAACTTTAAATAGTTCAGTAAAATATTCCCCAAGCCCAGAAATCCATGTGAAAATTCATTCTCTTAAAAGTTTATATGATTTTCAAGTAAGAGAAAAGTTTGTCAAAAATTTCTTTTCTAAGAAATTTCTTCTTAAGCTATGGTATTTTATTAGTAATATATCAGAAATAGACATCATATACATTATGCCCAAGAGAAGTTGATACCATTTGCGGTAGCATGCCAATTCCTTTTCCTTTTCCTTTCTCCTTTTTCAAATGTTAGTTATCATCATCTTTGTCTTATGTTCTATCTCTTATCTTTGTCCCAACATTGTCAGGGTGCCCCACAGGGGATTTCTGGCATAGGTCAGAATGTTTCATGTTGAAGTATTAATTCTTCATCTGTTTTCAATAGTAATTAAGAGTTCTTTTATTTGTTTGTTTGTTTGTTTAGTTTGTTCAATCTAGTTGATTCAAACACATGGTACATCAATTCAACAAAATTGAGAAAGAAAAAGTATCAGAGCTGCCCCATAGGGTTTCCCAAGATGTAATCTTTATGGGAGCAAATCTCCAGGTTTTCTCCCACAGATCTATGTGTGTCATTGGACCAATGACCATTTGGCCAACAATTGTGTTGACTCCTTGTGTTTCCCAAAGCAGGCAGTATTAAATAGCACCAAAATGAATCACCAAAAAGAAAGACTTAAAGGGTGGCACCTTACATCGTTTCGAATACTTTTTCACAGACAGTTATAACAGGCTCTGTAGAAGAAAGGAAATCAGAGTGCTTACTTTCGAAGTAAGAATGGAAAAATTTCTTTCCAAAATATAAGGTGGTCAGAAATGATTCCAGACCACCTAATGACACTGCAGCATTTAACCTGTTGGTTGAGAAAAGGCTGCTCTTTACCCAGTCAATTAATGACATAGGAATCTTTTGAGGTGTGTCAAAGTAATAAAGATCTCGTGTTTGCTTGGGAGCCAAACCAAGATTCACTGTAGAACAGAACACAAGCTAACACGTATCTAGAAGGTACAAAGCATTTCTGCCTTGGGGAGAAGGAGAAGGACCAATATACAAAGATTTCAGGAACCTCTAAGCAAAATTTTGGATTGGTTCTTATTTTCAGAAAAATCCAACCTGACAGGGACATGTAACAGAAATGGGATGATCTCCTCAGCAAATATTGGAGAAGTCCCAACAGGAGGGAATCCTGAGCTCCCTCAAAGTAAGAGAAACAGCATAAACACTAAGTACACGAAATCTTTTCTTTTTCTTTACATTGGAAATCAGGCAAGAAGGTCCATTGTTTGTTTCTTTCCCCCGTCACCATTGACCAGCGGCCAGAGTCACTTCAGTGCTTTCCTCCCCTGCAGCATGAGCCAATCCTTGGCAGCCATATTTCAACTCACCCAGTCAAAACCCTCACCTGGGGGCTCTGCGAAGAGAGCAGACCTCATGGGCAACTTGAAACAGACATCCCCATTCCTCAAGTAATGATTTTCACCATTTAATTTTTTTCTCCTTTACTTCCATATTCCTCAGTATCCTTCTCCACCCCCCAGCCCCCACCAACCATTTCTCCTTCCTTTTCGCAGGAGACATGTGCACACCCCACCCCACTAAAGAAGCAGTAATCCCCACT